ATATATATATAGTGTTTAAGCCCCCCAGACTGTATTCGTTATAGCAACTAGCAATGGTGACCTGGTTGGTTGTAAGCTAACTAGCTGGCAGCTAATGTTAGCTTTATCTTCAACCGCCATCACGACGTGTGTATTTACAACCACACCGTCTCTGTCAACATGAAGACTGTTGCTGCCTCACAAAGCGACGCGGTGTTTGTTCGTTGTGTGAGTGCGACCAAGGGAAACGTGGAGCGCGTGTAGGATAAGTCACGTTTTAGTTTAAATTGTAATAGGTGTCGACAGCTATAACCAGCTATGCTAACTCGATGACGTTAGCCAACGAGCTAGTTCAAGCCCCTGTGGTAGTTAATATCGATGTTTTATCCAGACATTGTCTTTGTAGTCAACACAGCACCATTAAACACTATCAGACACAGCTCTAATGCGACATTAAACTCAACCGTACCTTTCTCTGCGTCGACCTCGGCGACTACAGGATCATATCCTTGGCCCTGGCTCTTTGTTTATGTGATTTATTAGTGACCTGTTTTCATCAATCCGTCTCGTCTCTCTCTCCTCCGGGAGCCGTCCGTGCCGCCCCGGCTGACAGCGCTTATTGCGAGGGATGACAAGGGCCCCGCCCCTAGCAACCAATTGGATGCCGAGGTTCTGGAGACTGACGTTTCCTATTGGCCAGGCGTCGGTGTCCGTCAACGGTGTCGCTAAGGGGCGCAACATGGTCCAAGGGCAGGACACCTGCCACGGAAGGATGCTGAGCGCGGCAGGTCAAACCAAGGGATGAGGGGGCTGTAGAAAGAGGAAAAGGATGTAGGTTGTAGCATGATACACAGGCAGCTTCACAAGCACATGTAGAAAGGAAATAGTCAGCTTCTCTTTGAGAATGCATTTGTGCTCATCTCTTTGTTTTAAATAGCAATAAAGAGGCTTAGTCACACATCTAAATAAGAACTTTATTTCATAAGGTGAGCACTCTTGTTTTTTTAAATTTAACTCCCACATAATTTTCATAATGTAAATCTAATCTATATAATGTTTCAAAAGTATTCAAATGTATCAAACCAATTAGTTACTGATGTTCCATGATACTTCAGTCATCTATTTAGCAATGTAAACTTACAATTTGCTCATATTCTTAGCCAACTATAACTCTGAGGTTTTGGTATAGCTCGTGGGAAATGTAGTGTTGAGTGACATTAAAATAATGAGTTTTATCTGGAGTGAAATGACAGTTAACTTATTTCTGTCCTCAACAGATTTGACATTTAGTTTGGAATATGAATAGAAAATTCTGCTGTCATGTTTAAGCTTTGCAGATGAAAATGACAGGGAAGTGGGTCAGTGCTTCAGCTCTCTATTGGCTGCATTTATGGAGCTTTATAATTTTAGAACAGAACTGCTAGCTCAGCACATCTTATTTCGAACATTGTGTGTGTGCATGCATGGTGTTTCATTTGTCAGCTTGTTCCATTTTCACGGTGTTCCTTTTAGGCGACATGTAGCATTAATGAATAGCTTATTGCTCACACAAAGGGGCTTTTAATGTTTTAATGTACTTCAAGTTTTTATTTTTTTATTAATCCAGTCAAAAGGCGATCTCTGTGTGGAATCCAATAAACAAGAAATCACCAACCTGACTCCAACAGACACAATACATAAAATGACAAGATAATCTCCTGTACCAAATATTATACAACAAATATAAACCTGCACAGCATAATATGATAGTCCTCATTTCATGAGAGTGGGTTCCACTGCTTGGCATATAGAAATATGTACACCTGTATAACATTCCTCGTCTTGTTCCTCTTTCACCATCATCTGGTTGTTGATTTTCATTTACTCAAAGCAACTGTAAAAAGGCAGCACAAATAAAAGTATATTGCACAGTTTATCAGTATAAAAAGTATAAATAGAGACATGAACTTAAGTCCAGGTGACGTCTCACAAGCCCATGACAACAAATCTGAATTGAGCAAAGTTCTCATGTATGGATTAGTGAGTTACGTAGCATGCTCTAACCGACCATTTTAATCCAGTTCAGGTCAGTCATGCAATCGGGGGGCTGAACAATAAAAGTATGATTTAATGGTATCAGGATGCTGCAGCATATTGGTTCAGGTTTACAATTATTCAAAGCACATAGTGTACTGTATTTTATTTTTCTTTGTATTTGTATTCTATTGTGCTACGGAGCCCCCATGAGTTGTGTCCTTAATACGGTTAAAATTGAATTGTACATGCAGATGGATTGCACAAAATGTCACAAAAACAAAATATCACATAACACTCATTACATCAGAAACACATAAAAAAATATGGCAAAAATGGGCATCAGTTTACATTCAGTGGGGAGGCAGGAAGCTGCTGCTACACATAACTGATGCACGACATTCACTGATTGTCGATGGTTGAGTCTCTCTCGCTCATGTTTCTCTCCCATTGCCCTTTTTCTCTCATATTTTTTACGTGCCTTGTACATGTAATTATAATCCTGCCTTAATTCAATAAAATTCACATTGGCAAATACATTTTGACATAATTCAAATGCAGAATTCCAGTTTACATTGTCATTGTCAAAACACTCATGAAGGGTAAAATTATTTTAAATGTCTTTGTTATTAGTAATATCAAGATTTGCGATTCAAATGATAATTTAATGTGCTATTGAACATTTAATTTGCAGATTTGTTTCATGAATTAAATATAATTTGTGGAATATATTTAACAATTTCGCATGCAATACTGTATAATCATGGAAGCTAATAAAGTTGGCAATAAAGCCAACAATTGATGGCGCAAGAGACATTAACAGAGAGAAATACGAAAACAACAAAAGACAGAGAGAGGAAGCAGAGAGCATAATAAATGTCATTGAGTATTTGGACAGCATACCTTTAATTATCTTACTAATTTTAATCTTAATTGTTTCATAGAACATATTAAAATGCCATGTGCTTTTAAAATGTGAGCTGGATTTCGGCATTTGAATTTCAAACATGTACTAGTTTTTGTGGACATTAATTGAAAATAAATACAACCGCTGATTTGCAATTTTATTTGTATTATGACAGCATTATAGTTCCATAAACCATGTTTGAGTTTATGCAGTCCCAGACTCTTTCCTTGTTTTTTCGTTTGGACTGAAACCATTTGTCGTTGAACCTATTCCTCAGCTCAGCGTCTGATGAGTGTTACATCTGTGACTCACTGAGCTTTAATCTGTAAGTCACTCCGTAGAAGACGGAGTCTGTGAGATAAGAGAGATATTTGGCTGCGTGTCACTTTACTTGCTTGATTTAAGACATTTTAAGTCCATCATGATGGTCCTCAGGGTGGGAGTGAGATGTACAGTATCTGCTGCTATTTATCCTCTCATCCATCTTCTTAGTTATTCCTATCGTCGCTGAACCCCAAAGTGCTGTTACAGCATGTATAAAGTGTATTTTTTAACAAATGCGGAGCACGTCAGAGCATGTGATTGTTAATCTTGTTCCGCCAGTTTCATTAAAGCAGTGCTACTTCCCTGTAGGAGTGTAAAGATAAAACCAGCAAGAGGCCCCTTAACCAACAAGTTTACAAAGCGGCAGGAAAGTCCCTGCCTGGCCTCAGGCGTTGCGAGGATCTGCGCCGGTCAGTGACAACTGCTGAAGATAGGCTGGTGGCTGGTAACAAGGAGGCCGCGGCGTCTCCATGAAGATCGTCGAGGAGGTGAGGCTTTTGCGGTCTTTTTTCGAGATGTGTCTTCTCTGCCAACGACAGAGTAAGACTTCCACCTGCTCTCTGAAGAAGCTGGTGGTCAAGGTGTACAGGATGGGGTTCAAGGCGCTGTTGATGGGAAGGATGAAGATGACTATCCAGCTAGAGATGGTGCCTAAAGGAAAACAGGAGCAAAGTCGTCCACATTTTAAAGCAGTAAGTGCCTGTGGATGTTTTTTACGAGGCTATTCCATAAGTAAAGGGTTCAAACACTAGTCACTGATGTGTGGCAGCTGTTAAAGTAATGCAACTCAGAATCATTTCTTACCAGGTATCTCCACCTCCAATAGTGAGAGGATTTTCACCAAAAATATGGGAATCCAGCAGAGGGCATCAGAGAACACTATGAAGAAAAATCTGTTGGCCACAGCCACATCTGTGTGCAGTCTGCTCCTCATGTCTGTGGCATTGATGCCAGTTTTATAGATGGAGTAGAACATGCTGGAGTAGGAGAGGGCAATCACCAGGAATGCCACCAGGTTTAGACCTAAAGAAATGCACATGCTATTCACACACAGAAATGCAGTGGGGGATATTCACATCCTTTACTTCAGTAAAAGTATCAATATATTAATGTAAAAGTCATTAAAAGTAAACGTACTGCATTCAAAATCCTGCTTAGCTAAAAGCACAAATATTATTATAAAAATAATATACTTAATAAGTACTCATTCTGCACAAACAAAGCCCCTTCCACTGATGGATTAGGATACATTACATTATTAAATTGTGAAATACTGATGCATCAATGATTGCGCAACATTTGAATGTTGTAGCTGGTCGAGGACGAGCCAGTTTTGATGACATCATGACAGTTAGATAGTTTAGTCCTATGGTTCCCGACCTAAAGGTCTCAGAGGTTGTGAGATTATTTTATGTTTCAGGGAAAGAAAAACAAACATCTGCTTCACATATTTGTATTGGTTTTTGGCCAATTTTTCTAATCTTAGCTAATTTTGTGACATAAATTGTAAATTGGATAATTGTACTCCTTTTGGGCCTCAACCAATTGTATAAATGAAACCATCTGAGAAATGTCCAGGATGTATTACGAGAACTGGACACAGCGTCGGAGGCAACTCCCTGTTCATTCCTGGGAAAAGTGCTTATTGAAGCAAAAAATGTTCAACTTCCAAGTATATAATTCAGAGGAACCTTCTGTAGTATGGGGCCCCAAGGAAGCGCACAAGCATTTCCTAAAGCCCCGCTTCGCATCGGTCTAGCCCGTAGCCTCGTTCTCAGGCTCATTCACATGAACGGAGGAAGGAAAATAACTCTGGATTTGGCTATTAGTGGGTTTTACAATTTGTAGGGCCTAATGATATATGATCTGCTCATAATGGGACGTTTACCGAAAAATTATTTTACGCTGAGGTACAGAAGCCTCTTGATCAGTGCAAGTCTATGGGGAAAAGTGTTTTTGTATAAAACTGAAATACTGAAGCAAACTATGGCACCTCATGAATTAATTCACATGATTCATATTTAACAACCCAGTGATGGAAATGCTGGCACCCTTTCGGAGAGAAATGTTTCCCGAAATTCATTTAACACTGTTGCCAGACTTCCGCTGGTCCTCAGTGAGAACATTGAGTAATAAGAGTCCAGACTAATCATGCATTGCTGTGCTGGTGTTTGCTGTTCCCTGTTCTGTTAGTTGGTTGGTACTCAGCGACATTCTCTTAAATTGCTCTTATGTGTTCTCTATATTTTCCTTTTACAGAAAATATGAGCAATGTCAAAGATGAAAAAAATAAAGATGCGTCATATTCAGCCATGCATCCTTACAAAATGATAACAATATAGTTTTAGTTTCCATGTCTCCATGATGAGGAAAAGAATGGCTTATTTGATTTGAAGCTCAGTATTTTGTCCCAGTGTTTAGTGCATTTGATCACTCGACATTGTTTTTTTTCATCTTTGGGGCAAGAACGTTTCATTAGTTTTATTGGTTTGACAAAATTAAGACTACCGTTTAGTGCCAAACACCCTACCAATAATTTAATTCATTGCTAAAATCAGCATTCACTGTGTAATGAGTTTACATAAGAAAAATAAAGAGAAAATATATTTTTTTTCCTTCAATTTACCCAGAAATATCCCTGTTGAATATCCTTTGGCGGTAGGTTTTTCTTGCCTGTCAGAGTGCAGGGGAAAGCAGACCCCATTACGTCCATAGTAGTTTCCAAACACATCCTCATTCATCAGGGGCACAGCAGCAATAATGAAGCCCAGTAGCCAGATAGAGGCCAGCACCACCTTGCAGCGGGACGACAAACATGCTGTTAGGATTTCACTTCAAAGACCACGATTAAAAAGGATTTCAGCTAATTTCAGTCAGACTTACATCAAGGACAAAAGAGCATTACTAGCAAATGGTTATAGTCACATTAGGCTGAAAATGCTCTGCTCTCAAAGAATCCCCCAAAACAAACACACATGATACTGATCTCATAAAGAGGAGGCTGGGGTGGTGGAGCTGCAGCAGCAAAAGGCTTTAGCACAAGTATATCAGCAGAGTAAGGGTGAGTGTGTTTAAATGGCAACGCTGTGTTTCTAGTCAGCCGCTGGCTACACAGCTTTGAGTGAGGCAGTGGTTGAGGAGCATCAATGAAAAAGCTATATTAATATTCTGTTGTCTTTATGTGGCTATTATGTTTTTCAACACAACATTTGAAGAAGTTAAGCTGAACTTCGGTGAACCTAGAAGTACTCTAGAAGTACTTGTTTCCTCCCTGAACAGGTAAAAGTGTCAAAAAGTAACAGTTGATGAGAATCTTCTTTAATCTTTTAAGAATTCCCTAAAGTCTCAAATTAAAGCTGCCGTTGCGAACCCCCTGTGACCCAAAGCTGAAAGGCTGCAGCTCCTCGCGTTGAACATGCTTTCCTGGAGCTCTACTTGGCTGCTCTGCCAATTGATCTGCTCTGCCGTATGATTAGTATATTTCTAAACGTATAGCTACAGCAAAGGCTCCGAAATGTTTCACACTGGCTGAGGACAAAGCAGAATAATAATAATAATAATTTTACTTGTATCGCACTTTTCAAGCTGGGAGCACAAAGTGCTTTCCTTCGACAGCAGATCATTACCCACAAACAATATCAAGAAATAAAAACAGCAACATAAAAGCAAACAATTAAAAGACCGTATAGAATACATTTGCAGATGAATCATCCCAAAGCATATAAAGTAAGACAGGTGAAACCATAAAATAAACTTAAAATAAAGTGTTGCACAACATAGCTATACTTAAAAAGAAATAAATAAAATGAATAGCTCAACACAAAAGCTCAGACTTTAAAAACACACTACACTGTGAAATGTTAAGACACTGAGCAGTCCTTGTTTCAGTATTAGTATTATAAAGTAGCTCACCACAGTTTGAAGTTTGCCCGGGCGCAGGTTGCTGAAGGGGAAGACAATGACCAGGAACTTCTCCAGAGTCAGGTAGGTCAGGAGGAGAACAGACACCTGAGGGAAAACATTCACTTTAAATCTCAAAGGATTTAACTCGTAAACCACCTGCAGTAACATTTGTGATGACCATTTTCCATAGAATACCATAAACTTGTAGACTGACTTGAAGAATGCTTAAAACATGCTTCAGATTAACATTAATTACTTAATTAATAACATAAATCTGCTTTATTGTTGTCACACATGTGTGCTGATGCAGCTTTGAGCAACGGCTTATTGAAAACTCTGTTTGTGCATTCAAGTGCTTTTGTTAAAGCCAATTGAGACTTGAGAGTCAGCTACTGAAAGCAATTTCTTCAATGCAAAATTAACTTTACCCTATAAACAACCTTCATGTTTGTTTACTGACCATGTTCTTTCATTTCCCAACAACTTTACTTGTGAATTCCAATCTGATTTAGCAGTTATGTGTCGTTCACATGATTTATAGTCAATGCGAAACCATTGGCACGGTTCATTAGCCCCTGCTCAGTAGAGTCATGTTTTGACAGTGAGGTAGTCCACTGCTTTCTGTTCACAAATATCTTCAACACTCTGCACAACATCAGAAGTCAGTTAAGGATGCACCGATCCAATCAGATATCAACCACACGGGAACAATCCACATTAAACGGTGCCTTGTTTCGGTGTTTCTTACCAAAACACTGTGTGTCCTTAAAGTCCTTCCACAGAAAAAATGTGCAATCACGTGATCCACATTCCTACTGTTGGTTTCACTAAATCAGATTGTCCCTCGGAAAAACTAATCAGAGTCTACATGCAGTGGCTGGATGCTGATAAAATGCAGTAGCAGCAACAGCAGTGGCTGATATGGGATCAGTGCAAAAGCAGCATCAGCAGAAGAAGACTAAGTAAGTGCAATCGACAGCTTGAAAAGAAAATAGATACTGTATATATATATATATATATATATATGTATATATTTCTTGGATATGTATTGCGGTGAATACATGTCACAGGCAGTGTTGTAGTCAACCAAGTCTCGACCAAGAGTTTATTGAGGCCGAGACTTTCAGGGGTTGAGACCAAGTCAAGACCAAGACCGAGACAAGGCCGACTAAAAATGTGATCGATTCCGAGAATAAATTGAGGCCTCCAAAAAGAGGGCTTGAGCTTGAGTACTTAAACGCTACAGGTTCCCCTTCACACAGCAGATTAGCGTGTGTGTATCCATAACGAGTTACCTCTGAGGAGAGCATGGCCAGGAATCCAATGGTCCGACACTCGACGCTCTCCATCCAGAGCAGGGCGTTACGATTGTACTGCCCGCGGAATTTCACATCAAACACTCCAATGAAGAACAGGTACACACCCATGAGGCAGTCTGCACCTGAACGATAGGAGATGATTACAAAAGTCCATTTACAGAGGTGCTCTGTGTGGGTTTGTTAGAGGAGTCCATCTGTCAGCTGCTGGCACTGCAGACCCAACGTTTCTCACTAAAATACATAATTTCTATGGGGATAACAAGAAAAAACATGTCATGTCCTTTTTTTCAGCAAAGAGAGGGAGAGTCAACCCTCTTAGCCTAGTGAGCCACGGTCGCCCCTAAACTTACCCAAGATATTAAAAATGAAACTGAAATTGACATTACTTATGGTCCTTGTACAGCAGTGGACAGACATGAGCAAGCCTGAAGATATTTGCACTTACTGTAAGATCCTTGTGTGTTTTGTTAGACGTCACCTCCCTCAATCTTTGTTATAAGGTGCGTTACTCCAGGCTTTTTCAAATGTTTATGATGCTGTAGGTGAGATGTGGGTTAGCTGTATGTATAAAACAGCTAACCCACACCTTCCCCTCTGCATTTCATTTTACACTTCTCTATAAAACTAAGAGGATTCGACCGTGGCTCACTAGGCTAAGAGGGTTGTCTGGTAACCGTAAGGTCAACGGTTCGATCGGCTGGGACGTGTCCTGTGTCGAAGTGTCCCTGAGCAAGACATGGGCAGCCCACTGCTCCCTATATACAGGTTTTGTACTCTCAGTCAGTTTTACTTGTATAACCCCCATCACTCTGACTTTGTGACTCTGTGACAATAAATGTCTCTGGATAACAAGACGCAGAAAAAAATGGAAGCCGTAACTATGAAGATCAAGATCACTGCCTTCATCTCAAAGAACCTATTAAGGATAATACTGCCTCACAAAATACTGCCTCACAAAGGCTCCTATTTCGTGGAAATTGTCTTCTCTGAGATTTGATATACGATTTTACAGGATCTTGATTACATGTAGAATTGAATTCAATGTGTTGATTCAGGATGTTCGACAGACATTATTACATACTGAATCTTGCCCCAGAAACAGCTGATTGATTTGCCTTGATTTACTGCACTATGACTAGCTCACTCTGATGCCTGTGTGATGAATCATTTGTGCAGTAGTTTTGACCACTGCTTACAAAGTCAGGCTGTATCCTCAAGTCACCTATTCCCTTTTCCCAGGCTGGATCATTGCAATATTACAGCAATGCCAAGAACTTGCTAGGCAATGTTTTTAATTACATACACACATGTGGATAATCTTGCACCAAGGCTGGATAACAGGACTTTTATTCCCCTATAAACTCCATTAGATCCCTGCTACTCTTTTAGCTATTTCAGGCTGAAGTCGACCTAGTTCATGACTCTAGAACAGCTTTCCCTTAAATATAAGTATTTGCCTCCAGACCTGATTAAGAGTTTGAACTGCGATTATCGCTCCAGGCTACTTAACTCCATCACTTTTTTCTCAAGAACAGATTCACTTTTATTGATTTTTTAAATCCACATCTACTGTTTACTTTTTACCACTGTTAGGATACAGTTTACCTCCACCCTTACATGCACAGCCATATGTTACATTTGTATTTGTATTTCTGTATTTGCACATAGTATACCTGAATGGACAATGGTGTGGTTACTCACAGCAGAGGACCTTGATGCAGGCAGCATGCAGGTTGTTCTCTGCTCGTATCAGAGACCTCATGCCGATGACAAAGAGGTTACCGAAGCAGGTAATGAAGGCCATGACCCAGACAGACACCCGCAGCACCATGTTAGCCAGCAGGTCCTCAAAGGAAGAGATGCCATCTGTGTTAGGCTTACAGGACCTGACATGAGGCGCATAGGAGCAGTACTGGAACGTCTTAAAGTAGCTGGCAGAGAGAAGGCGCGAAGAAAAATAGAAGGTGGCAGCAGAAGAAACGAGTGAGAGAGAGAGAGACAGAGTTAGACAAGCAATGAAACATGAAGGGGGAAAAAAAAGATTACGATTCATCATGTTGGGTTTTTCGGTGGTGACAAAACAATGTAAGGATTGTGATACTGTGTAAGATGGTACGCACATGTAGGAAAGGTTCTTCATAGTCAGGAACATCTTAGTCTGAACATCTGGGATCTCTATCCCTTCCAGCGCCCTACAAAAACACAGAGCATATCTCAGCACTCAACAGAAAGCAGCAAAACGTTTGTGTGTGTGTTTGTTTGTGTGTGGGTGTGTCTGTGTGTGCTCACAGAGACTGAAGATGTGTCAGGTGACTGAAGTGGCTGGGGTGAATCCGGAGAAGGGGATTGTGGGAAATATTTCTGAAACAAGAAACAGCTTGTAATGAAGCCAGTAAAGCCTGCCTGGGTAATATGTAACATGTGGCTGAAAGATCCAGATGTCCTTTGTCAGTATAACAACAGGCAATCCTGCTTCACACTGCAGAATGCATTATGCATTTATGTATTTTTATACATGAAAATACACTATGAAGTTATACCTGTATATTAACCTACAAAGAAAATACCAAGTACTTCCATTCTTTTCACACTTAGAGTACAACAACCTTTATGTTATCTTGTTTGCAATAAGGCATTGCTGCATCTGTTTCTGTGCATTTCATATCCCGTCTCTTCCTCGTGTTTATAGCAATAGAAAACCGCAAGGCTTTTAAGCAGGGTTTGTCTGTGTTTGGTTTGACCCTATGGTCGCTTTAATCTATGTTTTTTTTTTATAAATAAGGTGTGATTAAATGGCCCTTTGCAAGACAACATGAACATGCTATTGTTGTTAGGAATGTGGCTTTAGAGACCACACACTTCTGAAGTGCTGCTGGCATAAACATCACGCCTGCAGACCAAACTGAAACTCAAATCCACATACAACTTATAACGTCAGAATGAGGTTATTAGGTGGTTCAACTGTAGTAGGACAGCACTGAAGGCCCAGGTATAAAATGCACGGCCCGCCACTGCGTTTTACATCATTGCGGACCATTATTAACTGTAGATAAAGCCCAAAAAGCTTTAAGACAAAATCTGCTGTAGTTGAATAATCATTTTAATATGTACACATATCACAACCTTTATCTGAACATTGAATTCTTCTGGAAATGTTTGCCTTGTGAAAAACATATTCTGTAGATCAAAAGAGCAGATTCAGAAAACTTTTAAATAATGTTTCCAAACGTATAAATAACAGTTCACAAAAAAGACGTGAACAGTGAACCGATAAATCACAGCAACCTCCTTCTCGTCCCCCTTCCCCCGTAGCGCGCTGTGTGTCGGCTCGTCTAAATGCTCTCCACGTTGTTTTTATGTAGCGCAGTGTAAAAACGCTGCTGCTGCGCCACAGGGAAGAACGAGTGATGGCAGCTTGTGAGAAGTTCCTGTGCGCAAGAAAAAAAAAGTCACATTACGCCAAAGAGCAAAATGTAGAAATGCGTTCCGGCGAGTACCGGCCCAATTTGAGCACTGAGTACAGCTGTTTCTAATGGAATGAAAATATATTTGTGAAGGTATTCTGGGCATCAGTAGCCTACATTACGTGACTTGCAATTTTGACTTTGGCATCTATAACATTTCTGCACTGCCTGCTGATGTTCCTGAGGGCGTGGTGTGTAATAACATTAATGTTGGCTGCAGGTGTGCCATTTCCCAGGTCCTGGTGAACATGCTGGCTAACTGGTAAGGCTTACACTTGAGCTTTTTCCTGCAGACAACAAGTCAAAAATGTGACGTGATGTCAAACAATTCTATTCATATTAAAATGTAGAATCCTTGGTGTTGACACAAAGTAGAAAGCAGCTAATCAAAGTTGTTTTTGACACATTTCTTGCCCAAAACATGTATAGGAGGTTGACATTTCCATCACAGACAGCCCATTCATCCACGTTGTTGTCCCTAGTAGTGTTTTGAACTACAAGATGCACATCTGCTCTATGTTTGGTATTATTGTTCATGGCTGCTCATACGTTTAACCAGTGATGGAAGGAGCATTCAGAGCCTTAGCCAATTCTAAATGGGCTTTCAAATGTTTTGCTTTTGCTTTTACACCGCAAAAACATCTCTGACAGCAAAGTCCACCACAAGACTAAAACTTTATTTCTTTATTTGTACTTTAATTTCCTGAGTTTCTTCCCATATGGGAGGCATTAACAGTAAGATGAAAACTTGTTCTCTGAATCCAACCTTAAATCTAGAGATCCCCAAAGTGTTTTTACATTTAATATGCCATAATCCCCCTCTATAATCATCACACAATTACGCACACCTCTCCGCGAAGCCAAGCGATCAGGTACTCACAGTTTAAGGAGGGACTTGGAGACGCTCTTAAAGGTGTTTTTTGGCAACTCCCGTATCCTGTTGCTGGACAGATTTCTAGATACAGTGAAAAACAGAAAAATGTTAAAGAAAAAAGAAAATGCTAAATGAGAAACATGCAGATATACTTATACTCATTGTTTACTCATTCATTTCCAAACATTGATTGTGGAAAGTATTGACCAAAGCATAGATAATTCATGTTTACAGGAAATTAAAAAACAATTGAATAACTACAGTAGCAGAGGATCAAATTAATGAATACCAACCAATGGAAATGATTTCAGCATTTCTTTCCAAAACGTTGTTTCGCAAGGATTAATCAAAACATCTCGAGAATAAATCTCAGCAGAACAAAACTCCATGGTTTCCTACACTGATTCATTGAATCTCCATCCATGACCTTATTATAAGACATCACCGTACCCAGTTATAGACCTTTATGTGAATTTCTGCCATTGCTGTAAAATGTATTTTAAGGTGTCTTTTCAATCTAAACCATTTATTGGGTTTGCATTTTATGCAATTCTGATGTTATATTTTTTTTCATGATTGGGTCTTTTGAAAGAAATGTGTACAGCTGATGAAGATCTGCTGATGGGAAATGAATTACATTTGAGGAAAAAAAAAAAGAAATCTATCAGCCATAAGAAACTCACCAGAGCATTCAAAGGGTCTCAAAAATACATTTCAATTCCCAACAACTGCTTAAACTAAGCTCTTATTATTATTTACTGTCAACATTACCATAGAGATACAAACACATTGGCTGGTACTTACAGCTCAGTCAGTCTCCACAGAGACTGGAACGTGTTTTCAGGAATTCTTCTGATCTGGTTGTCGATCAGTAATCTGAAGAAGACAGAGCTGCTGTCAGAAACTGTGTGCAAATTGTTTTTTCAATCTCATTTGTGGCAGTATCCGGACATCGGGCTCCCAACTATCCCAATGCACCATCTGTTAACAGTCGATGCTGACTCAAACAGCTCTGCCCGAAAAACAAAACAAAAACTGGAGTTTCTGCATTGCGAGAGAGGAAAAACTAACTGAAAATAAGAATTCACAGTTCAAATGCAATTGGTTTGACTTGGTCATTATTACTCCAATTGATAGTAACACACAGAAGATCCAGCTGACCAAACTGCATGTTAAGAAGAGTTGTTAAAAGTAAGAACATTTAAGAACAAGTAAAGTCTGACATTTTTTCGCTTTTCAACTAATTACCTGAATTTAAATTAAAACACAAACTTTTATTGAAAAGTTGATACTACTTTGAGATATATTTAACTTTGATTATCGTGCAACCATACAGAGGAGTAAAGGATGTTGTATTGAATGAGGCGGTAAGTAATTGGAAGATTTTAACACAAAACACATTCATGCTCAATTGACGACGTTTTGTGCGTAAAAACAATATGAAATCATTGATAGCTAAAACACAATTACTGAATAAATGTCTGGTGTAGCGTGGATTTCTGATGTAGCTTCACTCAGGACAGCTATTCATGTCTGTCAGTGAACAGATGGGAATGCACCTAATTTGGAGTTTATGTTTTGGGAAACTTCAAAAGCTCCCTAAACAGAATGGAAACACGCAGATGACTCTACGCTCCAAAAAAAGGAGTGTGTTTCCATCATCTTGGACTTTTACTACGTTCAAAAGTGAAGTGGGATACTCACAGAACTTCAAGCCTCCTGCAGGTCTTCAAGATAGAGTAGTCGAGAGTTTGAATCTGGTTTCCCTCAAGATCCCTGATAGCAGAAAAAAAAAATGGGGAACTTAACCCTCCTGTAATCTCTGTCTACCATCTGTGTTTTATGCACACAAGCACAAACACACACATCGGTCTGTCCGGTCAATTATTTGGAGCGCAGATATCTACTGAATCACAGACACAAGTACACTGTCACAGCAGACTCACAGCCAGTCCAGGGCAGGCATGTGTTGACAGAAGCTCGGGTGTGGAAGCTGCTGCAGTGAGGTGCCCACCATGGATCTGGAGATGAGAAGGAAAACATGTTATTGCAAATAAGAGATTCAACTCACACACTGCAGGAATTCCCACCGTTGGAGAGCGGAGGTGATGCACGGCTAGAAACAAAACCTTTGTGTGGCTGACCTTTGCTAAATAAACATCTTGATGTCTACTCTGGGTAACTTCAAACGCTGCAAATATAAATAAATAAATCACTGATATTGAACCATTGTCCTGCAAAAAGAGGGCAACACATTAGTAGTGCATACTTAAGCTAATTTAATTAATATCATACACACTAGTTGAATGACTATTACTGCAAAATCCAAACGTTTAATGGGCTTTTGAGTTTTCTTTCTGATGAGATGCCTGAACCACCACAGACGGCCCCTTTACCACGCAAAGGAGCAGCAACGTTACTCGGAGCTCCCTCTGTATGTCTGAAGTCCTCATCCTATCTCTAAGGCGAAACCCATGCAGCCACCCTAAGAAAGAAGCTAATTTGGGCTGCTTGTAGCCACAATCTCATACTTTCAGTAACTACCCAAAGCTCATGACCATTGGTGAGGGTTTAGAACAAACTGGTAAATCGAGAGCTTTGCCTTTCAGCTCAGCTCCTTCTTCACCACAACGGTCCGGTACAACGCCCACATCGCTGGTGACGCTGCACTGAACCTCCTGTCCATCCCAAGCTCCATTTCACTCATGAACAAGACCCCGAGATACTTGTGCTTCCTTGCTTGGGGCAGTGCCTTCAGCATCACAGTGTGAATCTCATCCACCCCTGGTGCCTTGCTACCGGGGAGCTTTTGACTAACTCAGCGACCTCTGCAGGGCTATAAATGAGTTTTCCCCCCCAAGTCTTCAAACTCTGCCTCCTCAGGGAGAACGTGTCAGTTGGGTTCAGGAGTTCCTCAAAGTGCTTTCCCCCCCGCTCGACAATATCCTCAATCCGAATCCACAGTTCTCCCCGGCTGAACACAGCCTGAGCCAAGCCTTTCTGAGTCATCTAACAGTTTGCCAGAACTTCCTTGAGGCCAACCGAAAGTCTTTCTCAATTGTCTCATCGGACTCCTCTCACACCTGGGTTTTTGCTTCGGCGGCATTCAAAAACTACATTCAAATATCTTCCACCATTGCTATGCTTTTCATACTTTCCCTCATGTTTCTCAGTAACAACGTTTCCCCTGGTCACGAGGACATTGTAGTCTCTTTGTTGTTTTGCCTGGCCGAGCTCTCTGGCCCTTGATGCCTTCAGACTCTCTTGCCAGTTCTGCTCCCCTGACATACCCTCTTACACACAAACCTGGGCTGCATTCAAATTTTGCAGAGTGAAATGACCCAGACGTATTAAGCAATGATAAAGGCTTGTTGAATTCTCTAAATGCTCAAGGGTGTTTTTGAATCGCTTCCGTTCTTATCTCCTTTAGCATTGGACAATCCTTTATGACAGCAAAGAAGAGAATGATGTTCCACAATTAATTACGGCAGCACTACAGCAGACCCACAACAACAACATCTGCCGTCGCATGATTAAAGAGCCTTGTGTAAGTGCGGTCAAATTCTCTAGCACAGTTGTTATGAAATTGTCCTTCATATCTTTTCTTGACTTTGACATTTTCCAAGGGGGTGAAGGAAAAGTGATTGGGAAAAGACAAAGGATGCAATTTTAATATTCAACCGAAGCCCTGTTGCCATTTTCCTCATCAGCCCTGCCATTTAAAACCAGAGACGAGGCAAAGAGTATAGGGACAAGGGATTCCACAGATGAATGGAGAAACCAAAAGAGGGACATGTGGTCAGACTCGAAAGGTACAAACGCTCTTTGAAGAGGCAGACAGAGTGCATTTATAAAAGGCTTTTATCTTTCGACCATAAACATCAAAAGGACATTTATTGAAGTGGATACCTGTTGTGGATAGAAAAGCAAACAGTGAGAGATTGAGTCAAGTGGAAAGATGAACTGTGGGTTGACAGATGTGAAGCGGAGGACAGCATCAGTGAACAAAGACTGGGGTAACAATATTGTATTCCCGCTATCGTACAGAAAAATACCGTCTGCTGATCCAAGCCAAGTCAGTGAAGCAGAGACGGGATGGACGGAGGGAATTTGTGACAACGAGAGATGAGAGAAAAAAAGGTAAAGACAGAGACAGAAAAGGGACTGTAAGGATATCTCTCTGTCCTAGATGGCCACTATCTTGCCAGTCCTCACCTGACTTACCCGCCCACATACGCATCTGGGCTGCGGTCACATAGTCGTTTTTTTGCTTGGTAAGGTTTCTCACAGAGTGAAATCGCTCAGAAGTATCGAGGCATGTTAACGGCTGAATTATCTAAATGCTAAAGACAGATGCTTTATTGCTTCCTTTCTTGTCTCCTTTAGCACTGGACCATCCTTTATGAAAGTAAAGGAGATATTGTGTCTGACAATTCATTTGAATTGCCGTGCGCTTCTTGTCTGTGTTTCCTGATGTCTGTTACCTGTAACTTGGCTGCTGAATATTATTACCACCTGCCTGTTTGAACCTCTGCCTTTTGACTTCATTGCCTGCAGCTCTTCGGATTTGTTTGTTTGGATTGCCTTCCTGGTGTTGATCCTTGCCTCTCGCACAGTTTTGTAAGCCTTGTCCTAATAAAACCTTGGAATTTAACAGTCAGTCTGCATTTGGATCTTATCCCACACATATTAATTGCCAGGAAGGATAAACACTTTGACACCCTCCTGATCTCCTCTGGTGGAAAATGAGATCCGCAGGATCGCCGACATGACTGTCTTTAATAGGCATGCATCTCTGTAGTCTGAATAAAATGATAATTTCCCATATTGAGTTATTCAGCTTAACAATTACTCTCAAAGAGTAGGCGTTGGTTTTATGTACTGTACATACAAACATGTATATGCACAACTGATATCCAATGCAGTTCTCATCTCAGACGCAAATGTTGGAATTACTTTGATATTAGAAATCAGTCAAGAATAAAACATAAGATTGTTAAGAGAAAACCATGCAACTCACAGGTACATGAGAGACTGGAGCCCGATGAAAGTGTCCTGGGACAAGCTGCTTAGCGGGTTGTGATCCAACATCCTGGCACAAAGAAACATTGTTATTTATTGTTTTCTAAAGAATAACTCAACATTTTGGGAAATACGCTTAATTGCCATCTTAGATGATCAATATCACCGTGTCTGTACGCTAAATAGGCATCCAGCAGGGTTTTACCTTCGAGCATAAAGACAGGAAACAGACAAGAAAAGCTAGAGAAGCTGAGGAATCTTCCTACCAGCACCTCTAAATTTGACCAATGAACATGTTGCATCTCGTTAGTGTAATGCAGACTCTAGCTTAACATTTAGCATATAGATCTGACAGTGGTATCAATATAACCCCCAGCAGGACTCGAACTTCCCAAAATGTCAAACTATTTTAAGTATGTGTAAAAATACCACACATGCCGTGTCACCATACACTCACTGGACTCCTACACTATATCCCAACTATGTGTTTTCTGATGAGTACTTCTTCTCTGGCTGGGCGCCAAGTGTCACTAGATGGACCTCACAAAAATTCCTCTATATCAAGACCTGATGCGATATATGCAGAAGACCTATAGCCTGCAACAGGCCTAACAAAGGACGCAATTTAAACTCTGGACCAATTACAAAATAATCCGCTTCCATAAAACTTGGGAGCATTTCTATTTCCCCTCAACATGCTCTCAACATGTTGAGGGCGAGAGAGGGTGGGCGCTACGCCTCAGCATCGACGGCGTCTGTCTGGACGGCATCATCAGCTGTAACCTCCTGAGGGCAGTGCAGAGCAGCGGCTGTGAGCCAGCCAGTGGGGGCACGAACATGCACTAAAAGCACCCGCGGTGGGCTCGGCTATGTAAACAAAGCAAAAAGACTACAAACACAGAGGGAGAGTGACTTCATTCTGCACTCAGGTAGACATTGCTGCACATCTTTATATAGCAAATACTTGTTTGATGCTTTATTAATGTTTACAATGTTAAATACAGCTCCTTTAAACTCTTGACATCATGGGATTAACAGAAATTCCTTTTCGTTTATTGGTGACTCAAAATCTTTTTTCACAGGGAAAATAACACACACAGCTGTACAAAATGTATGACCCCTACGGGTGCAAAAAAAAAAAAACTACTCTCCCAGCTCCTAAAAATAAATTCAAGCACGTAGAGAAGATTTGCTTTCAGGACCCTAAATCACTAAACCAAATCTGAAACTAAATTCCAGATGCCTACAAGGATACCCATGTGTGGGTATATCCACTTTGATAAAACCAGGCAACACAAAACAGAGCATGAGTGCCCCATACAGACACATAAAGAGTGTGTATGAATGTATTGTATATTACACAGTGTCCCTCCAATTAAACGAATGTAAAACCACAGCGGAGTTCACAACAAAATAACTTCCTCATCTGTAGGTGTGTGTGTGTGTGTGTGTGTGTGTGTGTGTGTGTTTATTACTCACAGCCACACTAACTGATGGAGATCCCTGAACACACCAGGACTAAGGGAAGATATCAAGTTATCGCTGAGAAACCTGAGAGACAGAGTGAGAAGCAGCAAAAGAGGCGGGTGATCTTTTAATGTAGTTTCTCTGACTCTCAAATATAATATAATATTTCACGCAACAATAGTATTCTCTAGTTTCAGTTCGTCAAATGTGAGGATTTGCTGCTTGTCTTTGTCATACTTCATAGCAAACTGAATATCTTTGGGTTTTAATGAGATAAAACAAGTTGTGTAAAAAAATAACCGGGAGATAAATTGATAATTCAAAAATATGTCCAACTCTAGAACACAGTTACAGATTACAACATAAAACCTGTAAAACTTCAGTGACAGCTATGCTTTCTGACCTTAATATACGTTTTGAGTAAATCTGAACTACTTGCGATGCCTGGCTTCCTGCTGACATTGGCCTTATTCCTTTCCTTTGCTGTGTGCTGTCTCACATTTGCACAGTGTCACAGGAGCCTTTTTCTATATCGTCAGAATAAAGAACTGCTCAGTGGAAGATGGACACCCCATGAATTTAAAGTGTTTGAAAGAGTTTAAACGTTGATAACTATTCTTGCCTAGAGTTCAGGGTTTCATACATTTTTCACTTTTTAATCGTTCTGTTAAAATCCTTGAATTCCAACCTTTATTTCAAAAAGGCTAATTGAGTTGAAAAATACGACAAACAAAACAAATCAATTTATTATTTCCTGCCCTGTAGTTCTTCATTTGATACCTGATGTAAGAGATGCGCTCATCAAAGATAAATGTAAAGGTAAGGGAAAAAATGTGAACCGGAAGGACAATAAAATCCATGTCGATATTTCAGGAGAGATTACCGCCAATTAATGAAGTGAGGAGGGTACTTACAACTTCTTTAAACTGTGCAGGCCGCTGAAAGCATGTTTGGATATGAACTGGAGGCTGTTGTTTTGCAGAAAGCTGGGAACAGAGAGACAAAATAATCATCAGAAACCCTACAGCTCTGACTGTTCATCTCTCTTATGCATGTAATCACCATCCACACTCACATTGACTTCATTAGAATGCAAAAGAGATGAGAGTAAAATCATCATTATCATCTGCTGCACTATCATCCATTTCCCTTTTTACACTTCAGTAAGAATGACAGGATAATACTCTCATTGGCATATTCTCCACATCAACTCAGAGGACAGTCAACTGCAGGGGACAGTCATTTGCTCAGATGCAAATTATGACCCTTAAAAACACACTAATAACAAGCCAGCAATTACTGACCTTTGGTCCGTGAACATGTTTGTGAAGGTGTGTGTTCCCTACTAATTAGATTCTGCAGGCGAGACCAGCCTCATGAAAACTATAATTATAAGTCATTATTCATTTTGGTAATACATGCAGGACAGGAGGACAAAAACCTCAGATATAGAGGCACTGGACTGGAGGAAATGTTGTGTGCTTGCCTGCTAACCATTACAATTCTTTAGTCTATTTACGGTTCGCCATTTGAGTCTCAGAACCAATCAAAAAAATTACATATTTTCTTGTTAACCTATGTTGTGCATCGCTCTATCTTGTTATGGATCTTGAAGAAGAACAATGCCAGTTTGCGAGTGTATTACCAACAATAACTTCATCACCAACGTCTTAAACTGATACAGCATATTGTTAGACACTCTGTATCCGCCTCTTATGATACCAGGATCGGAGGATAATTGTTTGTAGTGTGAAGTCACAGTCTGGTAAAGTTGTGTGGGTGACGTTAAAATGTGAAGTTTAAACTAAGCAGCAAAAAGATTGTTACCTGAATCCACATACAGGATAACATCAGATATGAAAGCAGGATGATACAACAGCGTGAATAAAAAGCAATTGGAAAATGTGTCTGTTTTTTTGTCAGAGGTATTAACTCAACTTGATTTCTGAGGCTTTGGTGTGTAGTTCTGGTAAATAATATTACATTAAATGTCTTTATGTCAGTGTGGCTGAGGGTCTTGTTTTGCAGGTGGCCTGCGCTTACTTTAAGTATTTGTCATGATGATTTATGAAACCCGTCTTCCTGTGTTTTCAAAAGTAACATGATGCAACTCACAAACAGCACCAGAGATGATTCAGAGGTAATAATAAAAACTGCATTAGCAAAGAGCTTCTGTGGCTCTCATACAGCTTAAGTAACAATCACAATGTGCATTTATGTAAAATCTTTAAATGATTATTTGAGCAACCACTAGATAAAACCTGGAGACGCCAGAGAGACGTAACTGACCCTCTGGTTGCCTCATTATCAGTTAACAGCATTACATTATTTACTAAGGCTTTGTCTCACATACTATTATCAATGCAATATAATATAATCGATTTAATATAATGATACCATAAAGTCTCCTCTAACACATTCTGAGGATGTAGCCACATTTACTGTGTTTCCACACTAAATGCAGAAACATAAATAATGAGTAAACCAATCAAAAGTATCTATTGTGAGGATGTGGAAAGCAGCGTAAGAAATGACTCACAGTTTCTGGAGGGAAGAGTATTCTGAGAAAACAAAATCAGACAACACTCGGATCTCATTGCTCCTCAGCGACCTGTAACAGAAGCCATGACATGCCGATTCACACAAACAGAGTACAGGTACACTCAGATAGAGACAGGCAGGTAGTGTCTGAAGCATTAGGATTTATGAACAGTCACATAAAAAACACAACTGCTGCCATTTTATCCAGAAATTGCTTTTAAAGAGATGGCATCGCATTCCCACATAATAGAAGCTTAGTTGGCGTAAAGACTTGAAAAGCTTCACTGTTATTTCATCTGAAAAGGTTAATACAAGGACAGGGACATAAAAGTGGCAGAGCACAAATATATCTACTGTCCACCCACCCATCCACACACACACACACACACACACACACACACACACACACACACACACACACACACACCCACACACACACACACACACACACACACACACACACACACACAAACACACGGCTAGCGCCTGAGATCTCAAGAGGAGTTAAGGTCTTAGCAGAAAAAAAAAATTATATTAGAATTCAAGTAATCCTTTTTTATTTGAATCCCCAATATGAATGAACTTGTTTCTGTCTGTTACACAACAGCAGGTCACACCATTAGTGGCAAAATAACTTATTTAACCAAAATATAACTTACGTATGCCTTAATTATACACACGCAAACACCATTTGATAAACAATAAACCGCATTGGTAATATAATCTAAAGCGCCTTTCATTTGCATAATACAGAAGAGGGCAACGCAACTGAGAAACTACATCAATGCCTATGGAAGGACTCATGAGGACTTAAAAATGAAAATAAATATTATTGAACCAGACTTTGTTTTAAATGGATTAAGCAGGAAAGATGCTGAAGGCAGAGAAGATAGAATAAGCTGGAAATGGGGAAACATTTTGAATATACTACAGATATATTTAGGATGGTTTACAACTTTGTAAAGGTCATGATCATCATCTCTCCATCTGCGATGACATTCCCAGGTGGTGAGATCATCTCATTTCAGCTGCCAGACTGAGTTCAGGCAGATGATACAACAGCCGTTACACACAGCCATAAAGAGGTTATATATTATAAAAACAAAGCAGAACTTTTTTGGAGGCCATGGCAGTCGGTTGTCTATGTGTTTTCTTCTAATCAAGAGAGATTATTAAAGTTAAAAAAGGCTTAAACTTGGTAATTACTCATGCAGATTTTTATGAATCATTGATATCAACACCTAAACCACACAAGTTTAAGCAGGTTTTGTGGAGCAGGTTGTCGTGTCCACTTTAACAATAAGAACTTCATATTTTCATCACTGTCATCATCATGCACAAATACTGAAACAGTTGACCTTTTGAAGGGGCACTCCAGCAATTTTATATTGCACTGTTGGGGGACTTGTGAATCTGTTAGATTTGTTGAAATAGATTCTGACTTTTTAAAATTGATCCTCTCCAAACTCAAGCGTGACGCCTCGCTGGCTGTCCGAGTAGACAAAGCCTCTCCAGAGACACGGCTAAATTGATTTTGATGTGAAAAAGATGTAAAGTGATGGCAACACTTTACAAAGTGCTTCATGTTCCCATCCACTGAGGACAAATGACAGTTAGACTAAAATGAATTGCTCACCAACTAAGAAAAAGCTGAATAACAGAAAAAAGGGTATATCTACGGGAGTAAGATTAAGCATCAAACAAATAAATGTGAACTAAACTGAGGAGATATCCCTTTGAGGGAATAGGTTCTCATTATTAAGCTTTGAGAGGCATATTAATGAGAACAAGCAAATGTGAACAATAGCAAAATCTTAGAAATAAACTGAAATATCATACAAAGGTCAGGAAGAAAGAACAAAACTCAATGCCCCAAAACATCCTAATATTAGCTTGTGATTGTCTTTCAGTTACAACGTCGACTCTAGACGACCACAACAAGTCTGGAGAGTTTGTTAGTGAGCTCTGGCAGTACAGGCTGATTAGTCAGTACAGAGAGAACATGATATAGTGTTCGGCTACTTTCTAAGCAACCACATTTAAAAGGAATGAATTATTCAATAAAGCAATCAGGCCTCAAATCACAATGAGTTTTCAGAGGCAGAGAAGCTGAGACTGAGATGAATGTGGGGACACACTGCAGTATATGAACATGTCAAAAACAAAATTGATCCACTCATCCATCTCTGTGACTCTACAAGTGGGTGTAGATAATGATTGATGGATGCATTATGGATTCTATTGTAGTCAGAGTTCAATCAACGACTATTTAGTCAAAAGTCGTGTCACTTCTTTTTGTTTCTCTTTACTCAGAGGAAAAGAGAAACGCAAGAGGCTGCTGCTGGAAAACGTACTTTGAACTGTACACACTTATACACACGAAATAAAAGAGATAAATGAGACAATGAATGCATTAAACGAGAACATTAAATAAGTGATTAAACAAGTTATATAATGAAATAAGATTACTGCAGGAATGCTGAAACCAAATTAGTTTGGAAATAGTCCTGAAATTGGCAACCAAAATAGGCTAATTAGCATTTTAATTGATGAAAGGAGAGAAGCAAGTTGAAATGAATAGTTTGAGTAGCATAACAACTGGAAGCTGCTACGCTACTAAAGTTAGCCTGAGGTCACCAGAGCTCAGAAAGAAAGAGTCATTTTTCACAGCAGACATTTGGCTTGTCATGGCGTGAAAAGCACTGGTGCAACCGATAACATTGAGAACAACTGCATTCCATATCGGAGAGCTAAAGATTTAGGAGAGCCGTGCTGGCTCACTGGCTGTAGTTTCAAACCACATACTTCTTCTTTCATTGCACCCTCTTGCTCATATATCCACTGCACAGAGAATCGAGGGTCAGAACAGCCAGAAAAGCATGCTTGCTTGCACACTGCAAAATGCGACCGGATGGAGTAGAACATTGTGGTATTTTTGTCATGCTGCATTTGAAATACTATGTATTGGGACATACTAAATATCTTTGAGGCATACCACAATGTAAGGCTAGTCTGGACATTGGAACATGCAGAAAGTTTCTGCCATGGAAAAGGTCTATAAGCACTTTGTATCTTTGTATCAATCCTCAATTGATACTCAATCAGGTCAATTGAGTATTGCAGCTGCGGAGACACTGCATCTGTCTTTCTTTACTAACTGTACTGGGGGAAAAAAATCACTTCGTTATACTTTTTTTAAAGTCTAACAAAGGGCAAAGGAAACTTTGGAAATAATTTCAAGAACAGCCACGGCAATTGGTTTGGGCTGTTTTCTGTCTTTATAAGCAAAACATTGATTCACCACATTTAATGAACCACTTACAGTTATGATCTTGGTGATTTCAACTTGATTTGTGTTTTGTGAACAGGATTTAATGTTCTGACCATCAAAGCCTCTCCATGTCCCAGAACAGAAACAACAACCTGAAAACAGCATTGTCTAGCTCAAAACAGCTTCTTTAAGGAATGAGGGAGTGAAGACTTCTCACTTTCAACTCAAATTGGGAGTCACAAAGATAGAAGCACACACACACACGCACACACACACACACACACACACACACACACACACACACACACACACA